AGTTGTACTGTATTGAATTAAGAACTTCCAGTATTGTCACACCACTGTCATGAGCATTGTGCATGTGCATGACACTTCAAATGACATATTTTTTGCTGCTTAACAGCTGTGATATTATTTTTTATTATAGTCATATAATATTTATATGAATCCCCTGTCATTACTTACAGGTATCTATATTATCTGAAACTCCTAGAAACGAATGCATCCATGCCCGCCACACTGAGCTGCCATGAGTTACATTGGAGTAACATCAACTCTCCCTTCAAAAGAGGAGCAATAATGATGCTGAAGCCCGCCTGTGATTTAAGTGAAGTTTATTTATAAACTAATTTCGAGAGGATAGCGTGCTTATGATTGCTTGCATTATTCAATTTATGAATAACCAATCAGACGATTCCTAAGCCACTTTAAATACCCTAAGTTCCATATGACATCAATCTTCGTTTTGAAGAATCCCCCTTTCCACCCCTACTACTCCCCCTTTCCTAGATGGGTGGCACGGAGGCCCAGTGGTTAGCACTGTTGCCTCAAAGCAAGAACGTCCTTATGTTCTAGTCCTTTCTAGGCCCATACCATCTATCCTGTCCCTAACCCTACCCGTAGCCCACCTCGAGAGCACCAGAAGTGTTCTGCAATACATTATGAACACATTAAGTACATTGTATTCATATTTTCATGAAAGTACATAGTAGTTAAGACCACCAAACATAAAGTGGTACCAAAAAATTATTGTCCCACTACATTGGTCCTAAAAGAAAGGGTTTATTCAATACCTTTTGACCAGCAATGACGACTTTGTCTCCGAGGTGAAGGCCCATGCTTGAAAGCTGTGTACGAGCTTTGTCTGAAAGGACACCTAAAGGTGGTGTAGGCAGGAGAGAAAGAGGAGCATCAGGCCTGGGGAGCACCTCCTGCAGCAGTGTGCGCAGCTCTTTAGCCTGGACTGCGGCGTCAGCGATTTCCAGAGGCATGTCCAGAGGCTCCGGCACAACATCAGCCGGACACTGACCCTTGTCGTTCTAAAGGGAAAAGACAAATAACACTATTTTTAAAAGGTTTAGGAAGCATGAACACTGTAAACAATGCTGGGTTCCACAAAATCCTTTTATGCTGTCCCATTGCAAATCCATTAAGTTAACCTTGTGTGTTTTAGTTTACAATATTAAGTCGATTGATCATTCAAGCTGCCCAGAATAGTGTTGTTTCAGCTCATTTTAAAGTTGTTAGAACATGCAGCAAACTTATTTTTGAGTGTATTATATTAAGTGCAATAAAATGAACAAAACAATGAATGAATCAGATGCAAAACTGTCTAAATTCCGTCTGAAATTACCTTCTAAATGAGCATTTTTCTTAACCTCCTATGTTTTTGTTCAGTTATTTGAAAACATTTATTTATGTATTTTATTAAAATTGTGGGCTTTCAAGTTATATCACCCATCTGTATAAATGACAATTAAATTTTAGGAAAACTGCTTTAAAATACAGCCAACGAGCTATTCATAATGTAAAGCATAACTTGCAGTCAAGCAACTTTTAGTAGTACTTTAATTAACAAGCAGACACAAATATAAAGCAGACTGCAGAAGCATCTTTTTAATTATACAACTAATTGTGTTTTCATGATGATCCTAATTAGGAACTCAATTAAGATGGCTGTCTCAAATAAAAAAAAAATAAAAAAAAAAACTTCCCAATGTTATCTAGAACAGGAGGGAAATATGTGCATCAACGTTTGACGTATGTTTGATAATGTTCATTTAATCACAATACTGGAAAAAAAGAAAAGTCTTCAGTGTAAAACTATACTACTTTATCTAAGACCCAATTAAGCAGTTATATTGTTGAAAAGTAGGCACTGTGCCAACACAAAGCAAAACTGTGCTTACAACAATCCTTTTGTGATTACAACAACAACAACGCAGCTTTTAGAACTTAATTCAAGCTTAAAGTCCTTAAAGATGCCTAATAATTACCTGCATCTGATCTGTTCACAGCTCTTCAGAACATAAAATGTAAGATTTATGGATTATAAATGTATTCAGTGACCCCAAAAATGAGGCATACGGTCTGTTCAAATGCTAGTTTAATGTGTATATTGTGAAATTGGCTGTCTATGTTTGCAATGAGGCAACAAACACACATAGACTGTCATATCACTCTGCTCTTTTGGTCAATTTTCTGGAGTGAAAGGACACACTTTCTAATCACTTGAGTGCTCATTAATATTCATGACACTTCAAATATGGTCAAAACCAACTGTATCATACTAGGATAGATTCAAAAGATTGTAAATGGACATGTAAAACCATTTTTCTGGAACTTACCTAAGCCACATTCCTTCCACAAAGACATCAGAGAACAGTTTAGTATATTGTATCAATTTTTTTCCTTGTTGCTGCCAAACATGAACTTCTTTCTTTCTTTCTTTCTTTCTTTCTTTCTTTCTTTCTTTCTTTCTTTCTTTCTTTCTTTCTTTCTTTCTTTCTTTCTTTCTTTCTTTCTTTCTTTCTTTCTTTTTTTCTGACTGTAGTCATATGACTTAGTAGACTTATGTACCAATGCATATTATGTATGTTTTGTGTCTTTGTTCCTCTTTGCCGATTCAATTTCAACTCTGTACATTTTAAAGTCATGCAGATACACCAAAATTCAGGTGTAAGCAAAAGTGAATCCCAGATTGCCAAGAATAGGGCAGGCTAAGATTAAAATGTTCATCATTATGTCTCATCAGCCCCCTGCGGCCAGACAACTCAATGCTTTCACTGCAACATGCCTCAACCACATTTATTTATGTTTCACACGGCCAGCTGCCTGAGTAGTGGACTTCCTGTTCCCTTCTGTCTTATTCAACAATATGTTGTAGCAGGCACCGATCTGGAACCAGACAAGGAAGATGGCCGAATAAAACGCATTGTCCTTGACATGGCCTGACTAGCGAGCAATAACTGTAACTGTTTTGCTTTTCTCGGCCCATTGGCTCTCTGCAGGCTTTAAGCTTAATGTGTTTGCCCATTCCACCAGCATCATACTCGGCGCTTATTATGAAGAGTGGGGGTGTCCATGATTGGGACATCATTCTGTAAACCTCAAGAAAAGCTTGATACAGCACACACTTCTTAGATGGCAGGAATAGATTTCCATCTTTAGTCACATATAAATGTACAGCGCCAGACAACTGGAAACTAAGGGCTCTCAATTTGTAATGGAATCATAGATAAACAACACCGCTGGGTGATGTTGTGCCTCATGCAGCTCCATACATCAACCGGGTCTTTTACTATCAGAGCGTGAGACAGCAGCGCTAGGCAGCTTCCTACCTAGAAACTATTTTTAAGGCCATGAATGCCCTCCAATTCTAAACAGACTGAGTTTAAGAACAGAAAAAAAAATAATGGTGGTTTGGCTGATTTAGTAACATCACATGTATCCTTTCTAGATAATGGAATCCCAAAATACATTACATCAAGTTCAAATGCATAAAAAGGCAGAGAAAACAAGAGACATTAATATTTTTATTTTATGCAGATGGATTTTTTCCGAACATAGTTTGTGTTAGCCTGAAGAGAAGCATTTTACAGCCTCTTATTCAAATGATGTTTATCGTATTGAGTTTTCACACTAAACATGCTTCTTGATGGGAGAGGGCCTTAAAGGAAGAAAAATAAAAAATCCTGTTATCATTTTACTTGTTTTAAACCTTTATGAGTGTCTTTCTTTCGTTGAACACAAAGATATTCTGAAGAAAGCTGCAAACCAGTGACTTCCATTTGTTTTTCCTACTATGGAAGTAATTCATAAAGGTTTATATCCCTTTAAGAATTATTAAATAGTGAGTCAATTTTCTAGAGGTGGGCCGTTATCGCCGTTAACGTGCTGCGTTAATGTGAGACTCTTATCGCGCAATAAAAATAATATCGCTGTTCTCAATCTTGTCTCAAAGTTGTTTTGGGAGCTGGGTCTATTCTCCACAAGCTTGATGACTTTCACCTTGATATTTTAGCGCGGATGTATACAGTACCTGACTGGTGAGCCCTCTGACAAAAAAGTGTCCTTCTGAATCAATTCAGCAGGATCCCTGAGTTTAACTGCAGTTCGGCACTTTTACTTACTCACTGGGCTATTAGACGCAAATAAGGAATAAGGACTGGTGAGAGTGTTATGGAATTTAATAACGCTCGTCGAATGGAAAGAAAAAACAATGTCTGTGATTGTGTGTGTATGTTCGGTACTTTACTGACAGCCATGTGTGTGGATCTTGTCGGAAAATTTGGCGAAAAGTCCTACATGACGGTAATAGTTTGATCGCAGTGTTTACTTTAATCATTTTTCTAATATATGCATACTCCACATGTCTTAATTCCGTTTCTGTTTTGGTCAGTTATGACTTTAGTCGGATAAAGGTAATCAAAAAAAATAAAAAAATAGCTGTTTAAGCTTATGTAGGCCTACAGTTCAAACATCATGTGTAACTGAATAAACAGTTAGTAAACACAAGTGCATCTTATTGAACATCATTTATTTTCATCACCAATTATCATAGAACAGTTTATCAAGCAGTGTGTGATGCATTTTGGAAACAGGAGATGAGCCCCTGCTCTAATGCGCCACCTGGCTTGGGAAACCCATTCTCAAAGACTTATTATTTGAATAGCACTCTCTCAAGTATAGTTCAATAAATTACATCTCTAAGTAAAACAAAAATAAATAAATAAATAAATAAATAAATAAATAAATAAATAAATAAATAAATAAATAAATAAATGCTAAAAACATTAATAAATACCTCAGGTATTTACCCCTAATAATATTTAAGTATCTACTTCAGTAAATCACAGTATTTTTTTCATCCATAAGAACTTCCTACATTTTGTCACTTAATTTAAAACAATGTCCTCTAATGTGACACTTTATGCTAATTTTAAATCAGTCAATTCTGTGTAAAACTGCAATTAGGTGAAGGAACCCTTTTAAGATCTTGTGACTGAAAATTTTTCACCTAAGTTTCGTTGTCATTTGCTGTGAAACCCTATTTACTGAAAATGTTCAGCAAGTATGAGGATAAGGGTACAGCAATCAAGATACATCACTTAAATTTTTTTGCATATTATTAAAAGTTTTGGGGCGAGGCAATGGCGTAGTAGGTAGTGCTGTTGCCTCATAGCAAGAAGGTCGCTGGGTCGCTGGTTCGAACCTCGGCTCAGTTGGCGTTTCTGTGTGGAGTTTGCATGTTCTCCCTGCCTTCGCGTGGGTTTCCTCCGGGTGCTCCGGTTTCCCTAACAGTCCAAAGACATGCGGTACAGGTGAATTGGGTCGGCTAAATTGTCCGTAGTGTATGAGTGTGTGTTTGAATGTGTATGTGGATGTTTCCCAGAGATGGGTTGCGGCTGGAAGGGCATCCGCTGCGTAAAAACTTGCTGGATAAGTTGGCGGTTCATTCCGCTGTGGCAACCCCGGATTAATAAAGGGACTAAGCCGACAAGAAAATGAATAAATGAATGAATTTAAGAAAATATATATTCTTTATTTTTGCCATGTGACACCATAGGGCATGAATTTGAGGTACAATTTAGTAAAATTACACTCTATTTTTTTTTATATATAAATAAATGTACTTTTTCCTTATATAGAATGCATTTTTACTGCTTATTTCTCTTTTTTACTTGCCTACCTATATATATCCAAAAGATAGATTTATAGGAGAACAGTGACAGGAGATATGCTAACTGTAGGTCTGAATATCCTGACAACTGGTACTTTTTGAATCCCATGCTCGGGTTATATCTCCGTCAGCTAAAGTTAATATTGGACTACATCCAAAAGCGGAGCTGAATAAATGTTTATCACCTTCACCACAACACGGCTTTGTTAGCACAACACTTGTACGCAGCATATGAGAAGTTTGAAGTACTCAGTGTTAGGCACATTACTTTAAAAAAGTAATTAGTTACAGTTACCAGTTACTACTCACAAAACTTAACTGGATTACATCATTATAAAAGTAACTAATCACCAGGGAAAGTAACTACTGTGTTACTTTATAAAAGAAACAATGTCAAAAATAAATAAATACAACCTTGTGAAACTCTAAATACAAACACACACGGCAATGATCATCAGTTATGTCCCCACACACACATACACACACGCACACACGCACGCACGCACACAAGCACACACAAACACCAGTGAAGGGAGAGAGAGAGAGAGAGAGAGAGAGAGAGAGAGAGATGAAAACCGAATCAGTAAACTCATTTGCAAAATATCTATCAGTTATGTAATGATGAATTTTATTGCCAGTGATGGTAATGGAGTGGTAAGCGTAGTTTATTTGATTACTAGTTACTGAAAAAAGTCATTCAGATAGAAATTATGCTTCAGAAAAAACAAAACAAAAAGCGCTCTGGGGTAAGTTCAAATGTATGGTCGGTGCTCTTTGGGTAAGGGATTCTTGTTGCAGAAATTATGCTTATTTATAACTCTGTTGTTCCTCATTTTGAGAAATGTCAATTGCTTTGCATTTAAAATAGGTTAATTCATACGATAATAACATGTTTAAATGCATTATCCACTTTCTAATCCATTTCCTTTATTTAGCCAGGAGATCACATTGAGACAGTACTGTCTCTTCTTCCAGAGAAGAGTGTGTGCGTGTGTTCTAATCCATATCCCTGCACAGTAAATCATGCACATACGTGTATATACACATACACATTACATGCTGACTCATCATTGCGAGTCAATAAAAATAAAACATCTTCTGTCCGGCAGGCCTGAGTGGTTTGCTAATGATGAAATGATGCTCAGGAGATAAAGTTCAGCTTAGAAATTGGCATGGCCGTGGCAAGCTGGCAAATACAGCCAGTCAGCCAAATTATTGTTTTTGTCCAAACAAAATTAGTGCGAAATGGCGCACTGCCTCGATCGCCGCTTATGCAGTGCAGGGATTTCAACAATTATTCAAAGGTGATATTTGATTATGCTCCTCTGGTATCAAAGAGCAAAACAACAACATTATATTTCCTGACACTGAAGCTGAGACAAAAAAAAAGGGATCAGGCCATTTCAATGCTCCCTTAATAGTGTTTTTGCAGCACAAGATTGCACTCTAGTGGTTAACAAAAGCATCAGCAGAATGATCAGCTTCTCTGTTAAAGTACTGTCATAATAATAATAATAATAATAATAATAATAATAATAATAATAATAATAATAATAATGAACAATTGTCAGATGAAGGATTATTCAGAAAAAAATGTAATATTAATCCACTGGCAGGGGAGACAACAGAGGCAAAAAATATATACAAATAAAACAGAAACACTGTAGTCAAGAGCAAAACAAGTGAAACAAGGTAAAATTTCTTACTCTCATCGGCCACTTTATTAGGTACAGTAGTCTAACTGCTCGTTAATGCAAATTTCTAATCAGCCAACATGGCAGCAATTCAATGTATTTAGGCATGCAGACATGGTCAAGACGATCTGCTGCAGTTCAAACTGAGCATCAGTATTGGGATTAAAGGTAATTTAGGTCACTTTGAACGTGACATGGTTGTTGGTGCCAGATGTTGTTGTGTATTTACACAAATAACCATCTTTAGGGTTTACAGAGGATGGTCAGAAAAAGACAGAATACTCAGTGAGTGGCAGTTCTGTTGGCGCAAATGCCTTGTTGATGCCAGAGGGTAGAGGAGTATGGCCAGACTGGTTTAAGCTTATAGAAAGGCAACAGTAACTCAAATAACTACTCGTTACAACCGAGGTATGCAGAAAAGCATATTTAAACACACAACACTTCCAACCTTAAGACGGATGGGCTACAGCAGCAGAAGATCACATCGGGTGCCACTCATGTGAGCTAAGAACAGGAAACTGAGGCTACAATTTACACAGACACACCAAAATTGTACAATAGGAAATTGTAAAAATGTTGCCTGGTCTGATGAGTGTCGATTTCTGCTGTAACATTCAGATGGTAGAGTCAAAATTTGCACTCGAAAAAAGTGCCAAAAGTGTTTATTTACCTTAGCACTGAACATATCAATGACATACAAATTAGCCATCTACCTGTAAGTTTCGAAACAGGAACTTCAATTTTTCAATTTTAATAACAAAAAAAACTATTAAACCATATAAAAAAACAAAGTTTCAATTTAGTATTGTTGAAAACTCATCACATTCAACATTTAATCACTCACTCACTTAGAGATGGGTTTTCAAAGGAAAATTATCATATAACTATAATCTGGTAAAAGCTGGGATCTCTGGGCATGTCCCCTGCAACAGAAAAAAAACCCCTCTCATTTGGGACTGAGGTTTCTGGGACAAAGAGATATGATTTAGCCAAGGTTGACAGCAGTGGGTAACGTTGTGCATTGTCTTTCCACCACTTGAGAGGACAAGCCATGAGTGAGATAGAGGTCTCTTTACGGTACCATTCAATGTCTGCATCAATCTAACAAGTGTGCTGTATTCTGCAGTCCCCATGACTGTTTTTAGCCGTATTCTATGAAGGTATTTTTGGTGCAAAACTCCCAAGCAGCTGTAAAAGTGTCATTTGTAGTTGTAAAAAATAGCCACACATGTGTATCAGTAAATTTGTACTCGCAGAGCAAATTTGCAAATGCGTATCAGTAAATTTGTACTCGCAGAGCAAATTTGCAAATGTGTAGGTATTTTTTGTCTCCAACAAACACAACGCAACATTTACACCTGCACAAATTCTTCAGTACAGGTGCACAAATCCCATCGGACGAATCACAAATGCAGAAACTCATCCGCTCATGTTCTTTGCTACTATTGTTGCAGTGAATATGGTGCAAAACACATTCACACACCTGCATCCAGAAATGTGAAGTCACAGACAAAACTTGTACATCTGTAGATTAGAATGTGTATCCGCACAAAGAGAGCTGAACGTGTGTAGAATGTTTGATTATTTTTTTTCTAAGCACGAACACAAATATGTTCCTGCAACTGCTCAAATCTGCCGCTACGAGTCTCAAGCGCTGTTTTTCACTTGCAAATCTACATTACGCTCTCTCGCTCTTCTGCACCAAAAATCACTGTGACATTTGGTGCAAAAGTTACTTGTGTATCTGCCAACCAAAACGTGGGCTCTCAGAGAAATTCAGCCAATAGGGGATGGGGCGTGACGTCACCGCTCTAGCGCTGCGGAGGCTGAACGTCGAAACCGAAACCCCCTTTGCGAGATTCGCTGCATCTATACCTGATTTGCGTTCAAAAATGCCAGCTTAATTATTTCATAGTAGGAGCAAACATGCCTTAAGAAAAGGAGTAGGTTTGAAACTTTAGTAACCATAAAAAGTACGCCAGGTGGATGCCTTTCTACTCCAGGAAGCCGCAGCCTACGGCCTGAAGGAGGAAGAGGACGCGGTCAGTTTGAAATGTGAGTATTAAACCAAAGACAGTTCTTTGTGTTAAACTCGTATTTGTTGAGCTAAGTTAATGTACAGTGCACTGTAGAATTGCTGAGGGTGTAAAGAGGCTTTAAATTATAGTCTATTTCATTTCGCTGTAAATGTTGACTGTGTAATGTTACGGTCTCCAATCAGCACATATAAAGTAACGTTTCAAAGGTAAAAAAGATTATTATCAAATGTCTGACAGAAAAATGTGAAGTATTGCAGATCACAAGACTAAACAGACATCTGAGTGAGTGATGTATTTGTGCTGATGTAGAATCTGCTGTCAATTGACTGTTGCCAATACTGTTTAAATTAGATACATGTATTCTTACTAAAAGAGAATAAAGGGTCATTTGTTTAATCTGTGCATCAGTATATAGTTGATCACTTGAGGATTTGTGACCGCGTGAGCTTCAAAAAAACACGTTTTGGCAAGCCAGACTCATTTACAATCTTGATTAAAATATTAGATAAATATTAATTAAATATTAAATTAAATATTAGATTTAAATATAAAAAATATTAGTTTTAATAATTTTAATCAATTCAGGCTGCAAAAGATGAAAGAGAAAGTAATTCAGCATAGAGCGCAGATTTCTGTGCGCATCACGCGTCTGAACGCGCATTACCAAATGCACCTCCCTTTAATATCAGTTCATGCAGTCGTATTTCATACAATAGAAAGTCTTAAAGAACACAAACAGTTAAACAGCACTGTGAGATAATCAGGAGATGTATTGGGCCCGCTTAAACATTATAGCATTTTTCTCACGGAAAGAGCAAATATTAATTAGTCTGTTAATGACGCACAGAAACGGACAGATCACAGGCAGTTTCAGTAGTAAAGTTCGTGCAAAGTGCAACATACACAATTCAAACACCAGTGCAAAGCACTTTGTTGCAGTTTGTGTCAAAAACATCAATATTTTATATAGACACATATCCACACATAATCTTGCTTTCGCTTTGCTCTCTCTAAATGCGCGCTCTTCTCTTGACGCGCGCTGCTGTGTGTACCTCATCTGTAAATTTGGAGATGTTAGTAACTGAACTCATTTCAATATCACTGACTCGATTTATTAGATACGAAAGCCGTGTAACGTGCTATCGATTGACGTGTTGTCTTTTTTCCCCTTTAAATCTCTCAAATTATCATATGTGATCTCTCTGTTATTGGACTTTTTAACTGATAAGGGAAAAACGTCAAAATCATACACAAGATATCTTAAACTGTTACTGTTCACTGCTGTGCTCAACAATAGTGCAATACAATATTAAAAATTCAGAATTCAATAATGAATAGAATAAATCTTGATAATTCAAGATGTTTCAGGGAGCAGGTCGACGCACACAGAGCGCCATGATAAAGCACATGAAACGCCATGTGTGTGTTTATTAAAACATGTTATATGCGAAATAAATTAGATTTTTTTTGATAGGCTATAAATGATACTGTATTAGCTATCACTAATAAGTAGGCTAATATGCAAAGAAAATCTGCTATTCAAAAATTTGTTTGTTAGTTATAAAAAAATATTAATGTCTATATTGGCTCTGGTGCATTAAATAATAATAACAACATTAAGATTTTTTTTTAAATGACAAATTATAGAAAACAGTATGGAATGTTGAAGTTCTTTAAAGGTATCATCTTAAGGTTGTAAATTCCAACACTAAAGTTAAAACATATTTAATTTTTATAATTCAGCTTTTGCTGTACAAATGATTAAATGTTTTAGGGAATAAAAAGTTTTATATTGTTTGTCAACTCTGTCATGGATGACTTTAGTAATGTTTAGAAATAATAATAAATCATAGCAAGAAAAATCGTAATGTGTAGTTACTAAATTTAAACTGAATTGACAGTAATTTAGTTTTACAACTTTTTAGCAAAACCTTTTACTTGCTATAACTGCAAAGATCACATGATACTAATGAAATCAGGCTTAAAATATTTTTTTATTTGTAAAATATGTGATTAATGAAATATTCAGTTTTCCTTTTGTAATTGTGATAATAATAGCATTGACAGTTTACAGTTTAAACATTTAAAATTAAAATATTGGTGATTTTTTCTTTAAAGAAAAGCAAAATAAATTATTTTTGCATGATGGAAATATGTACTGGCTAATTTGTAAATCAAGAAATCGTGATTTTTGGTAATGTGATCTTTGAAAATGATGAACACATTTTATAAATAAATAATCAAAAATGTAACAATGTAATGTAACAATTTTTTTTAAAAGCTGAAAAAAGGATGGCTTTGGTCACTAAATGTACCTGCAACTACAGAATCACCCATATAGTTCATGGAGAGCAACATGTTTTTCTGGAGTTTTCTTGCAAAACTTGGAAACATCACGTAAGCAAGCAAACAGTGACATAAATAGAATCTGCAGTACAAATACTAGTTTTAAAATAAAAGTTAGTTTGCTTTATCAGAATGACAGAGAATACTATAAATTATTTTATTATATATATATATATATATATATATATAATTTGTTTATTTTTTTAATTTGCCCACCCTAAAGTTCCAAGCTAGAGCCGGGCCTGATGACAGAGGTGATTTATTCTAGTCTCTATGTTACAGGGAGGCTTTTATTGAGTACAGTACAGAAAATAAAAAAACATATTTTACATTTGCTATTTATTATTATTATTAGTTATTGTATTTTCAAACAGTGATTACATCAGCTTTCTGATTAATGTTGTGTGTGGGCTTTTTCTGCAGAGCTGTTGTGATAGAGCTGGACCTGTAGACAAGGGAACTAACACATTTGAGGAAAAAAGAATCCAAAATAAGAGGTAGGATAATTTTATTACTAGCACTACAGAAATCAAATGACACATTGTACAGTAAAATGACATTGTTTTTTGAATGTTTTTTATGTTTTGTTTGATCTGAAATATCTGCAGATTGGTGTGTGTGGTGAGGGTAAAGAAGTCCACATGCAGCAGCATCTTGGAAATGCTGTAATGCAGGGGTGCCCAAACTCAGTTCTGGACAGCTGGTGTCCTGCAGAGTTTAGAGTCAACTTCAACTAAACTCTGCAAGACAGCAGCAGTTCTAGACTGAGTTTAGCCACTCCTGTTCTCCTGTAGTGAACTGAACGAGACCCTGCATCAGTCCACATGCCCTTGTGTCCTCATCTGGACCAGGGGCCTCATGTACGAAGACTTGCGTGGAAATCTTACTAAAACATTGCGTACGCACAAAGCTTTAAATGTGCGTACGCAGAAAAAAATTCAGATGTATGAAACACTGCGTACGCCGAATCTCACGCATATTCTTTTGTACATCTGAATGAACGTGAAACTGAGCGCAACATGCACGAGCACAAAACCCCTCCCTGCCTCCTCCCCCGTATGAATATGCTAATGACTATGCTAATGGCAAAACCCAACGAAAAAGCAATGGAAAAAGCAAGCAAAAAGAGAAACTTTGAACAGAATGTGAAATGGAGGTGCTGCTTTCGGAGGTAGACCGGAGAAAAGCGGTGTTATTTGCAAGTTTGTTTTTCGGAATTAACAACAAAAGAAAAAAAAATAGAGTGGGAGAGTTTAGCTGATACGGTTAACACAGTTGGGTCTGAACATCGCACTGAGTGCATTTAAAAAAACATAGTCTGGTTTATATCTGTAAACTGTTGCAGCACTCTGAACAGTCTCAGTGGCACGCTCGTAAGACGCATGTGATCATGTTTTGACACGTTCGAGCATGAACTCGGCTCGAATCCAGCGTCTGATGATCTCTTTCTTCTTTTTTCCCCCGCTACATATCAGATTTTGCCCACTATTTATCACGAGAAAGACAAGTAGGAATCATCAATAAGTTTGTGCATCATATTTTATTTGCACATTTATTGAATGGAAATGTTTCTGATTCACGCTTGCAAATTCATCTTCAGATAGTGTCTATATAGCAATGTGCGTGCAGTAGATCGCTCAGATTACATTGGGAAGACAGGCGACCGCTGCAAATTGTGCTTTAATGTTTAGCTGGTCAACTGTATGGTATGGAAATCTTACATACCTACTAGATGAACCCGTCTCATACAGCTGCCATTGCAAGGCTCAGACACTTTGTAGAGAAGAATTTAACACAACTGCCTCTAGGAGTCGCCAATGGAAATAAAACAGACACGCACAAAAAATGTGCGTACGCCTGCCAAAAAGCTGCCGTGAACCTGCGCACATTCCCACGTTCAGTTCATTGTTAGTAAATCCAAACGTGAGCGATTCTGAGCGTGAAACCTGGCGTACGCAAAGTTTTTGTGCGTACGCAGCGTTGATACATGAGGCCCCAGATGTTGCTGTGGTCTCTTCATCATCCGTATCTCGGGCATGGACTGCCATGCATCACCGTCCTGTTTCAGTCTGACTGCAGCAATGAGGGATGTGATGATGGCGAAGTCCCTCTGATCATCTGAAGAACTGGCCCAGCTGTGTGGAGATACAGCAAAACATGGGCTTCTGTCTGTAATACATCACTGTTAGAATAAAGCTTGGTTTCATGTGTTGGTGACTTGTATTTATTTGTCATGATTACTCATATTCATTCTTTTAATAATATAATTATGTTTCTGTTTGTTTTCAATAAATAATGATAATTCTTTCAATATTGTATGCATTTCCATTGTTTAACAGAAATGTAAGAAAATAAGATGCATTGTCTAGTGACTACTAGTAGATTTACTTAGTTAATTGTCCACATTTATCATTACTAGCAATACATTCTTGGTAAAAATGTTAAGTAAACATACATTTTTTGGAGTGTAAAATGAATCATAAAACATGGTAGCGTTAGTTATTAAGGTAAAGATGGTTTATATTTGCATTTAAACATTTTAATGGTCCCTATATTGTTTACCATGGTACTTTAAATATTTGGTCTGAATGACTTCAAAACAACATTAGAACTAATATTTATTTGACTGTGGACAGTGCTGTATTTTGATAGTCATTGGCTGCTAATATGATTTCCCTATATAGAATTTGAAAATCTTTTTCTGAAATTAAATTATTAAGAAGAAAGTCAGAATGTGCAACTATAAAACCAACTTCACCTCAATGCATTGGATGCACCCTGGTCTGCCATTTTTCTAAAATAAATATAGCTTATGAATTAAATAGTTTAATCATATTATGTGATGAGACTAAATAGCAAACATGACATTAGGGCAAGCAAGCCAAGTTACCTTTCGTAAAACAAGAATTGTTATCCTAGGTATGAATACTGATCACTAACATAGTTATATTTAAACTAACATCAAACTGTACAACTATAAGTGGTTTTAAAAAATGAAGCAATGAAAACGTACCTTAATTGTATTGCTGCTATCAGGATGTCATCGATTCAGCTCTGCAGAAAAAGCACACACACACCAGTAATCAGAAAGCTAATGTAAACACTGTTTGAAAATACAATAACTAATAATAAATAGCAAATGTAAAATATGTTTTTGTAGTTTCTGTACTGTACTCAATAAAAGCCTCCCTGTAACATAAAGACTAGAATAAATCACCTCTGATTCACATGCTCAAATAACATGTTGGTGTAGTTGCTGATGTAACACAAACCTTACTCAAGTGATCAACTATATACTGATGCACAGATTAAACAAATGACCCTTTATTCTCTTTTAGTAAGAATACATGTATCTAATTTAAACAGTATTGGCAACAGTCAATTGACAGCAGATTCTACATCAGCACAAATACATCACTCACTCAGATGTCTGTTTAGTCTTGTGATCTGCAATACTTCACATTTTTCTGTCAGACATTTGATAATAATCTTTTTTACCTTTGAAACGTTACTTTATATGTGCTGATTGGAGACCGTAACATTACACAGTCAACATTTACAGCGAAATGAAATAGACTATAATTTAAAGCCTCTTTACACCCTCAGCAATTCTACAGTGCACTGTACAGTAACTTAGCTCAACAAATACGAGTTTAACACAAAGAACTGTCTTTGGTTTAATACTCACATTTCAAACTGACCGCGTCCTCTTCCTCCTTCAGGCCGTAGGCTGCGGCTTCCTGGAGTAGAAAGGCATCCACCTGGCGTACTTTTTATGGTTACTAAAGTTTCAAACCTACTCCTTTTCTTAAGGCATGTTTGCTCCTACTATGAAATAATTAAGCAGGCATTTTTGAACGCAAATCAGGTATAGATGCAGCGAATCTCGCAAAGGGGGTTTCGGTTTCGACGTTCAGCCTCCGCAGCGCTAGAGCGGTGACGTCACGCCCCATCCCCTATTGGCTGAATTTCTCTGAGAGCCCACGTTTTGGTTGGCAGATACACAAGTAACTTTTGCACCAAATGTCACAGTGATTTTTGGTGCAGAAGAGCGAGAGAGCGAAATGTAGATTTGCAAGTGAAAAACAGCGCTTGAGACTTGTAGCGGCAGATTTGAGCAGTTGCAGGAACATATTTGTGTTCGTGCTTAGAAAAAAAATAATCAAACATTCTACACACGTTCAGCTCTCTTTGTGCGGATACACATTCTAATCTACAGATGTGCAAGTTTTGTCTGTGACTTCACATTTCTGGATGCAGGTGTGTGAATGTGTTTTGCACCATATTCACTGCAACAATAGTAGCAAAGAACATGAGCGGATGAGTTTCTGCATTTGTGATTCGTCCGATGGGATTTGTGCACCTGTACTGAAGAATTTGTGCAGGTGTAAATGTTGCGTTGTGTTTGTTGGAGACAAAAAATACCTACACATTTGCAAATTTGCTCTGCGAGTACAAATTTACTGATACGCATTTGCAAATTTGCTCTGCGAGTACAAATTTACTGATACACATGTGTGGCTATTTTTTACAACTACAAATGACACTTTTACAGCTGCCTGGGAGTTTTGCACCAAAAATACCTTCATAGTATTCCCCGACTTATATTTCACCACAGTCTGGCAGTGCCTGCATACTCTTTTTGTCTTTGTCACCTTTTCTCCTTTTTCGTATCTTTTTAGAAAGAAACCGAAATGCTTCCACACATCCGATTTAAACCCCGCTTTAGGTTCGATCATTTCCAGCTCTTTTTCTTCCCCGCTACTAGCAACACACTCCATTTCCGCATTACTGGATCTGTAGTAACAACAGATCGCAAAGGATGATAGCCACGCTTGGGCTGATGGGAATTGTAGTCCCCGCTACCTCCGGTTCGCTTCATTCGCCTAAACAAACTTTTCTCAGAAATATAGTTTTATTGAGTCATGCGCCTACGGTAATATTGAAAAAAATTACTATTGCGGTATGACAGTATTTACAACATTGTTACATCAACATCAGAAAATGATTTCATCTTTATCATCCTGGTAATGTAGATGTTGGACTGAAGCAGCTAGTACAAGTTTACACTGTGGAAGGGCAGAGGGCTGTTGAATAACTACTGAGAGATTCCAGCTGCTGTCTGGGCTTTCACTGCTTTTTTACACCTCTTTCTTCATGTTTTCAATACTAATTTCCTAAGCCATTTCATTTCATTGCACACAATTCTGAGCTTCTCCTGGGTGAAAGAGCTCCTCACCCTATCTATAAGGGAACAACGCGTGACTTTTGTCAGGAAGTATATCATCCAGTACACAGGGAGGACACATTTCCATATATTCAAGGAGAGACCCCCAACTTTAAGAACAATTTTTGGTGTTCTTAAAGACAATAAGCATCAAGAGTCTGCTCTTTTCTAAAGTCCTTCACCTCATATATTATACCTTTGTTTTCTATTGTCAGTGGTGTTGCTTGGCAACGAGGCATATTTTTATGCCTAAACCTCAGCTACTCCAGAAAGCTCTGTGCCATCATGTAAGTCTGCCAAGCCTGCTGTTACAACATTATCAGATGATTTGATGTTTGTCCCACACACCGATGATATCTTTATTAGATTGTCAGTTGAGGAACAAAAACTGAGCAATAAAAAAAAATAACATATCCTGACTGACGAGGAATGGACAGATGCCCAGAGAGAAGAAAAAATAAAAAAATACACTGGCAACAAACACCCCACACTACTGGCAGAGATAATGCTGGGTAAAAATGAAGGATGGAAAACTCTGGCTCCCTCACAACAAAATGGAAAAACAAAAACAGAAAGACAGCAAAAGTCGAGCATCACGCCAGTTTCTATTTTATGTCCTGGCAGCAGAACCTGATAAACCCTTTACTCGTAAACAAACCTCTCTGACTAATGCCCTACTAAAAGGCCTGCTGAACTCGAACGCACGCAATTGACAAAAGTTTAAATAATATCAATAATTCAGTGACATCTGCTGTTTGTGAGGAGAATGACCCCTGGCAGTGACGCTCTGTGAGTGCAAAATGAGTTCAGAGAGAGAAATGAGCATGGTTAATTTACCACTGTGCTGATGGGACAAACTGAAAGGAAAATAATAAAGCTGGCTGTGAAGAGTATGTGTGTGTGTGTGTGTGTGTGTGTGTGTGAGAGAGAGATTGTGTGCGTCATTCTGACTCTGTGTGACTACTTTATCCATCTTTTTTATCAGTCCATTCATCCATAGAAAAACGTTTAAACTATGACTACAATAACATAATTTTATTTTATTATTATTATTATTATTATTATTATCATTATTATTATTATTCATAATTATTGTTATTATTATTTATTATTATTATTATTATTATTATTATTATTATTATTATTATTATTATTATTATTGTATTATTAATAATATATTTATTATTATTATTATTATTATTATTATTATTTTATTATTATTATTATTATTATTATTATTATTATCATAAATAATAAATCATAGCAATAATAGCATGTATAATATAATAACAATCCTTAATATTAATAAATGATAACATTACTACTACTACTAATAATAATAATAATTATTATTATTATTATTATTATTATTATTATTACTATTAATATAGGCAAAAAGGGCATGACATGATGCAAGTTTTGAACATCGATCAAAGAAAGTCAGATTTCAGTTTGCTTTGTTAACAGGTGTGCAGAAAAATCACAAACCTTAAATGCAGGGTTGGCTCCCAGTTCCAGCAGACACCTGACAGCAGAGGTGCACAGATTTGAGGCGGCGATGTGCAAAGCAGTGCCGAAGTCAAAATCACTGCAGGTGGAATCCACCTCTGAAACACAACAGACCACACACGCACGCACGCACGCACGCACGCACGCACGCACGCACACACACACACCATCATCATCATCATCATCATCACATTAAAAACTTGCATTTGTCCACCAGTGTGTTTTTTGACTCTCACTGTTATTCCATTAACTCTCTTCTCACCTCCCGGCTGTGACGCCTGCAGAACCACTTGAATAAGAGGAGGGACGTCAAAATACGCAGCATAGTGGAGAGCGTTCATGTTTGTCCAACGGCTGCGTAAAGATGGCTCGGCTCCCAGTGATAACAGCTGATGGGCGAAACCAGCAGCGCTCTCAGCATCACCTGTGGTAAACGTCGAAATATATAATGTTGATGTAACATGATTTTCATCTTATTTCGAGTCCAGATATCTGAAAATTCTTACAACAAGTATTTCATAAACATTTTATTTTCTTGAAAAATTGTTTTTTTTTTTGAGTTATGATGAGATGGCGTTCTCATTTTGCCTCTGTTTACAGTTGTACTCTCTTAAATAAAAAAAAAAGTTTGAATTAATTCGATATAAATGTGCATCTATATATATATATATGACTGACTGACTGACTGACTGACTGACTGACTGACTGACTGAATGAATGAATTAATGAATTAATGAATGAATTAATGAATGAATATTTGGACTAAAAACAAGACAAAAACTCTAAGACTTTTTGTTGGCAGTGTTTAAGAAAAGGTGTTAATTGAATAGATTTGTATTGATTTGTTTTATTTACATATAAATACATGCTCACCTATGCCAGGCGCTCCAGCCTTGCAGCAATAGTGAAGCAACGTCATGTCCGTAAGACCATCTCTGTCATTGACACCACATCCTCGCTTTAGAATCTATAGAACAAAGCAAATATCACTTCAATAGTTAAAGAACATTCAGCAAAAGATTTCATGCTGAAAGAGAGAAACACACAGTCTGCAGAAGTAATATTTCAGTACACAAAGCCCGACACTAAACGCAGTGTGGGGGAGTGTGTGGGTATGTTTTATGAGAGCTGTGAGAAAACATGAAATTAAAATTGACCCTGTTTACTTGGCTTTTTTAAGTATAATTCAACAGTCAATGTGTTTTTCACACAAATATATACAGTGAAAGTCAGAATTATTAGACCACCTGTATAATTTTTCCCCAATTTCTGTTTAACGGAGAGAAGATTTTTTTCAACACATTTCTGAACATATTAGTTTTAATAATTAATCTCTAATAACGGATTTATTTTATCTTTGCCATGACGAAAGTAAATAATATTTAATTATATTTTTATTTAAGGTACTAGTATTCAGATAAAAATTACATTTAAAGACTTAACCTGGTTAATTTGGCAAATTAGTGTAACAAGGAAAGTCATTGTATAATAATGGTTTGTTCTGTAGACTATAAATATATATATATATATATATATATATATATATATATATATATATATATATATATATATATATATATATATATATATATGTGTGTGTGTGTGTGTGTGTGTGTGTGTGTGTGTGTGTGTGTGTGTGTGTGTGTATTACTTAAGGGGACTAATAGTTTGGACCTTAAAATAGCTTTAAAAAAACCTAAAAACTGCTTTTATTCTAGTGAAAATAAAACAAACAAGACTTTCTCCAGAACAAAAAATATTATCAGACATACTGTGGAAATTTCCTTGCTCTGTTAAACATCATTTGGGAAATATGAAAATAATAATAATAATAATAAAATAAGTAAAAATAACAATTCACAAAAGAGGTAATAATTCTGACTTCTACTGTATCTGTTTGACAATCTCTCATTAAATAAATTCAAATCAAATCAATTTGCATGTACTTTCTTTGACTCTAAAATCTTCTTCCCTGAAAAAATTACTGAACCAATTATTTATTTACTTATAGTGTTAAAAGATTCATTTAAGCAACAAAAAGGCTATAGCCAAACACATAGTTAATATAAACATAATATATGTTTTTATTTTATCCAAAATGGTTACATATTAACACTTATTAGAGTATACTGGAGTAAAAGACCTACCATGGTTAAAAGCAAGTTTTCGTATTTATGTGTTTTTCTCTTTTTATCCACTAGATGTCACAAAAACCCATCATACGTTTTAAAAATATTCACAGTTTATCCTCCTGGAAAAGTACAAATGAAAATATGAAGTACAAATGCTTAATAATAACAAATCTAAATCAATTAATCTTTTTTTTTTTTTTGTCTTTGCCATGATGACAGTACATAATATTTTACTAATAAGTTTACAATGTAAAAAAATAATAATCTTAAGGTGAGTAAAATAATGGAATTATTGGAATTAGTTTTATTATATACACATATATATGCACTCACTCTATTAGATACTACCCGCTTGGACCCCCTTTTGCCTTCAGAACTGCCTTAATTCTCCGTGGCATAGATTCAACAAGGTACTGGAAATATTCCTCAAAGATTTTGCTCCAAATTGACATGATAGCATCATGTAGTTGCTGCTGATTTGCTGGCTGCACATCCATGATGCCAATCTCCTACCACATTCAAAAAGGTGCTCTATTGGCATTTGAGTACAGTGAACACATTGTCATATTTAAGAAACCAGTCTAAGAAGATTTGAGCTTTATGACATGGCGTTTTATCCTGTTGGAAATAACCATCAGAAGATAGTCCCTGTGGTCATAAAGGGACGGACATGGTCAGCAACAATACTCATCATTTGCCAAGAAAATATCCTCCACACCACCACCAGCCTGAACCATTGATACAAGGCAAGATGGATCCATGCTTTCATGTTGTTGATTCCAAATTCTGACCCTACCATCTGAATGTCTCAGCAGAAATGGAGACTCATCAGACCAGGCAACATTTTTCCAATCTTCTGCTGCTGTGGCCTATCCGCCTCAAGGTTGGACGTGTTGTGCATTCAGAGAAGCTCTTCTGCATACAGTTGTAACGAGTGGTTATTTGAGTTACTGTTGGCCATTCTCCTCTGACCTTCGGCATCAACAAGGAATTTGCATCCACAGAACTGCCACTCATTGCATATTTTATATATATATATTTTAAACATTCTCTGTAAACCCTAGAGATGGTTGTGTGTGAAAATCCCAGTAGATCAGCAGTTTCTGAAATTTTCACACCAGCCCGTCTGGCACCAGAAATAACGACACGTTCAAAGTCACTTAAATCACCTTTCTTCCCCATTCTGATGCTTGCTTTGAATTGCAGCAGATCGTCTTGACCATGTCTACATGCCTAAATACATTGAATTGCTGCCATGTTGGCTGATTAGAAATTTGCAATAACGAGCAGTTGGACAGGTGTACCTAATAAAGTGGCCAGTGGGAGTATTTTCATTTTCAACATTTCAATGCTTGTTTTTAATCAAGCTACTTTTTTGTGTGGTTTAGTTTTAGTTGACTACAGATGTTATAAGCACATATAATATTACATTTAAATGACTTTTTCATGTTTTGTTTCTCCTTTAAAATCACAAGACTTAAAAATAGTTCTGACCTCATTACCAATGATACTAATATTCCGCTGGACTTGGGGAACCCACTGCCTGAGGACGGCAAAGAGCTCTGGAACGGTGGTCTGGGGATCCTGCAGAACCTCCTGACACAGAGGATCATTCGGGTCAAAGAAAGAGAACTCTGGCAAAAAAAAAAAAAAAGAAAAAAGAAAAAAAAGAACAGTTTTAAATTATTATAACAGTATAAATGATTATTTTAAAAACCTATTAATTTAGATTCACCCATGCCGGGCCAGAACCCTGATCGCTCAAATGCAGTTAATCAGCTCAGTTTGATGTAAATTAAAAAGAAGTGTGAGAGTGAATGAGAAGCGAGTACAGAGAGAGAATGATGTATCAGGGCTGACAGGCAGAAAATTGGAAAAGAATCTCTATGACCTTGTCAATACTTCACTTTTACAGCAGTTTAAACAGGGTCCATGATTTACAGTCTGAAATGTTTTCCATAAATAAAGCTACACATCAGAATCTGCTAAGTAAGCTGTTTATTAGCCAGTAAGCGAGAAAACTGTAAATAAGTAAATAAATAAATAAAACAGCTGCAGGTTAAAATCTGAGATAAATAAAAGGAATGTCAGCATTTTTGCCGCGACCCACTTAAAGGGTCTTGAAAGCCCCCTTTTCAGTTCAAATCTATCTCAGAGTTTAAAAAAAGCTTAACTGGGCCAATCACAGCTTAAATTAGAGTCAATCGTGGTCAAAATAGGTAGGTTTGACACATAATGTTTGACCTACAGGGGTTGGACAATAAAACTGAAACACTGGTCAATGTAGTGTTGGAGGTTTCATGGCTAAACTTGAACTGACAGTTAAGACTAGCATCCTGATACATCTAAAACGGGTTATTTTAATTTTACAGGGAATTTAAAGCTAAAAGATGCTACCAGTGTCTTGATGTGCAATGGGGTAAGCAAAAAAAAAGCAAAAAGTTTTCAGCTTGAATAATAATAATAATAATAATAATAATAATAATAATAGTAAAAATAATAATAATAATAATAATAATAATAGTAATAATAATAATAGTAGTAGTAATAATAATAATAGTAATAATAATAATAATAATAATAACAATAATAACAATAATAATAATAATAATAGTTATAATAATAATAATAATAATAATAATAATAATAGTTGTAATAATAATAGTAATAATAGTAATAGTAATAATAATAATAACAATAATAATAATAATAATAATAATAATAATAATAATAATAATAATAATAATAATAATAATACCTTTTATTTTTAGATCCCTTTCTAGAAGCACCAAAGGACACCTTACAGCAGATCACAAGCACATCATTAAAATACAAGCAGTAAAAATGACAATCAAAAAAATTAAACCAGAAAATCATTAATAGCTATCCTAAACAATATCTGAAATTTAAAATTGGAAACAAATTCCATCTGGCGAATGTGCAGAGGCAGGGAATTACACAACTTTGGTGCTGTACAGCGCTGCCACCAAATGACTTCATCTTAAAGTTTGGGACAGACAACAGTTCAGCAGAAGATTAACTCAGTGAGCGCAAAGGAATGTACTGTACAAATGAAGAAGATCAGAAAGATAGGGAGGGGCCAAGTTATGAAGAGCATTGTATGTTAAGAGAAGGATTTTGTGTTGTATATGATAGTCAACAGGGAGCCAGTGAAGGTGTAAAAGAATTGGAGTTATGTGATCAAAAGTACGCAAGCAGGTAACTATCCTAGCCGCTGAATTCTGAATGGAGATTACTTTGCTATCCCCATTGCCAGATTATTTTGTTCTTAGGATTATCTTGTTTTAACCCTTGTGCACTGTTCAAATTTACTACCCTTTTGTTATGTTAGGGATGAAAACATTCACTGAATTAAACTGCTGTAAAAATGCTGGGGATGCAACGGTTCCCAGAAAAAACAAAAAAACAAAACGTATCGTCCAGTGTTCTTCCGTGGCTTGGTGCTTCCTGTGATCTGTTGTTTAGAATATGCTTTATAATATTGGTTTGTTAATAAAAACAACTGCAACAAGCCAGTTGTACCCTTTGTACACTTCCAATTACCCTTCCCATCCATTGCACGTGTAAAGAACAGTCCAATCACTTCTTAGAATGTAAATCTGTTGTTTACATCATATTTCTTCACGTGTGTGCGTGTGGAGTATCTGTAGCTAACTAACAGTTAAAAATTAGATTTTTTTAGATGGTGTTGATATCAAAGATAGAAAATGTAATAATATGTTTTTTAGAAGTTTGATTCATTGTCCTGCAATTTTTAGACACAAGGGGCCCTATCATACACCCGGCGCAATGTGGCGAAAGGCACAGCGCAATACTTCTTTGGTAGTTTCAGCTTGGCGCAAGCGTCGTTTTAAGGCGTTGCGCTACGCTGTTTAAATAGCAAATGCATTAGTGCTCATATGTGCCCATAGGCGTCCTGGTCTAAAAAGAAAGGCGTTCTGAGGCGCACGGCTGGCGCATTGCTATTTTGAGAAACTAAAATAGATTTTTCATTAGACCAAAACAAACCCGGTCTAAACTCCGGCGCAGAGTTGCGCCTCACTTACACACTGCTTAATATGCACAAGAGAGCAATAGGCAAATATCTTTACATATGAAAAAATTTAAATATTAAGGACATATATAGGATATAATAAGAATAGATATAGAATATAAATATAAAGGATTAAAATATTACAAAACATATTATTTTCTAGCCTACATAAATATGAAAAATCACTGCTTTTATGCCTTCTTCATCTCAGGAGGCTTTTTCAGTTAATTCATAACAATTTGCTTTTGTATAATGTTATTATTATTAGCAGTATTATTTATTATATCCATATTTATATTTGTTTTATTAAAAACAAGCTTAGATTTGTCCACCTGTCAGGTTGTAGACCATAAGGGGCACAGCATGTGTTTTAGGATATAACTCAGGTTTGTGAACACACTTCGTTATTGTTGTTCATTTATTCGTTTGCTGGAAATTAGAACTGAATTTAGAAATAGTTTTGAAACGAATATTTGCGCTTAACAAACGCAAATAATTATTTATAGACTAATTGATGTCTGTGCATAAAGGTTTCCCTATCCAAGAGCGAAAGTGAAAGTAGATCCATTATCTCTCATTCTCACTCAGTAGATGCTCTGTTTAACAGTTTTCTGTTAAAAAAACTGTTAACTGTTTGCTTGTGAAACGCTCAGTTTTTTCCACTTAGACTTACTTTACGTCCTGTAAATAGCGAATGCACTTATGGCGCGACGCAGCTGGCTCTTAAAGGGAATGGGAGATGAGACTCTAATTGGTTTATTCTGAAAACACACCTATAACTCACTAAAAAAACAAACTCAAGCCTTTTAGACCATGCATCACGCCGCAAAGCGGATTTTACCGTCCTTAAATTAGCAAAAATGCGTTCTGACATGCCCTGAAAGCGTTTGCGCCCTGCGTTTTTCGCTCTGCGCATGGACCGTCAAAATAGAGCCCAAGTACTTTTGGAATAACCAATTTGAGAATATCAATTGGAACTTGATCTGGACTTATAACAACAAATATTGTGTCACTAATAAAGTCTGTGAAATCCAATTTAAAATTATACGTAAAATATATTCAACCAACCAAGAGGTATAAAGTTGATCTTTCTGAATTGCGTGTTTTTTGCGTAATGGATGTTAAAACTGTTATGCATTTGTTTTTTGATTGTATATATGTTAAGTATTTCTGGTTTGATGCTGAATGTCTATTTAATATACTGAGTGGTCAAAGAATTATTATCAAGAAAAGAGATGTCATATTTTATATAGATGATATATATATATACTCCTCTTCTCTATGGTAAATGTTATGTATACCCGAGTAGTTTCTGTAGCTGCTTCTCAAATGGCACACTATACACTATGCACTCATGCACTATGTTCTTATACACTTACACACAGTTGCCAAATCAGGGAAATAAATGATCAAACTATCAAATAATACCTGCCATGACTATGCGCTTTAGACTTTGCATCTAGGGGCTCTATTTTAATGATCTAGGCGCAAAGTGCAAAGCGCAGCGCGCAAAAGCATTAAGAGCGTGTCCGAATCCACTTTTGCTATTTGAAGGATGGAAAAATCCGCTCAGTGCCGCGGCGCATGGTCTAACAGAGTTGAGCTTATTCTTTTAATGACTTATGGGTGTGTTATGAGAATAAACCAATCAGATTCTCATCTCCCATTCCCTTTAAGAGTCAGTTGCATCGTGCCATGGCGCATTTGCTATTTACAAGACAGACTTTGTGTAAGATTTGAAATATTACAAATATTTTGATATCTTTGACAATTCAGGCATGGGCTGAAAGCAGAGACTGTTGACTCCACAACCCAGCAGGTGGGAATGTGGGAAAAACCAGCTCCTGCTGCATTTGCATCTGAGTCTGCTGAAACTCGGCTTCAACCACCCCAACTCACACATATGGTCATTTCAATGTTTGAATGTTCTAGATTAACCAAAGTGACTTTATCTATCATGTTTGATATCATTTGAAATGTCTCAGTGCGACTGGTACAATGGTCTCATTCTCTCAGAAATAGACATAATCAAAACAATAAATATATAACTTCAGGCATCTTTTGAACCACTGTGAAGGGTGTGACTTTTCCACAGGCAGCACTAAATCCAAATGCCTTTTTGTTATGCACACACCCCTTTCCTTGAGGGAATTCTTGGATTACTTAAGGTAAGGTTTGAGAAAGGCTCGGCGCTATTCTGCTTACCCAGATCAGCCCGTAACATGGAGCTTACGCTCCACGTTATGTATAATTTGAAGTCAGGTATGCATCTTTTAATCTTGGATTTATCTTTGATAAACTTGATGTTTTGTATTGATCATTTATGAATTGACTGATTGAATTGGCATAATACACTTACCTGACTAATAAATTGTTATGTTTTGAATTATTCAAACCTCGTGTTATTATCACTGGCAAATGTTGTTGTCCATAGCACTACAAGCCACTGTACAGGTTAGTAACGGACTAAAACATGTTAGACGGAGCAGCGTGGCACGCTATACAATGTTGTTAGAGATCCGACTGACAAATTGGCATTAATTCAAGTATACTTAGACTGTAAAAGGCCAACTATGGGTTTTTTATTTAGAACAACAAAATATTGTTGAAACTAATCTAAATGTGGGTATTTAGGCCTTCATCTACAAACTTATAATCCTGTGCGATTATTATTAAAATACTTTGTCTTGATTAAGTAGATAAAAGATCTATGGGGACCACATAAAAATCTCCTAAGTTGAGTAAAGTAGGGTTCTGCCTTTTTAGGAGAGTGGTTAATCGCCTCTGTTTAATGAATAAGACTGACAAGCTTGTATTAAGAGATTGTATACCCGGCCGGTGCAAGACTTGGTATGCTATAGGAATCTGAATAAATGAGAATAAGGTATAATAACAAATCGAAAGAATATTCAATCATAATCTAAAATAATGTGAAAGGAAACAAAATAATCTTATTAATGTTTTATAATTGGAGTCAGATAAAACGAGGATAAATATATTATTATTCTAATTATAAACCACCTCATACTAAAATTGGAGTCAGATATGAGTTAAGTTTAAAATAAATCAACATTGTGCACTGGAAAGACCAAACATGCTTCATCCACCAGTGGACATCGTCATTGGACCAACTGGCTGGACTCTACACTTTGTAAGTGGAAAAACTAAACGCTTCACTATCAAGAAAACAGTTAAACGGAGCATCTGCAGCACGAGAATGAGAGATGAGCCTCCTTATTCTTTATTTTCGCTTTCACTCTCTTTTGTGGATAGGGAAACGTGTTGTACACACAGACATCCATAAGCCCATACATAATTAATTTTGTTTGTTAAGCAAATAGAATTGTTTCAAAACTATTTTTAAATTCAGTTCTAATTTACAGCAAACAAATAAATGAATACAATAATGAAGGGTGGTCAGAAAAAGTATATCCAAATACACATGCTATGCCCCAAATGGTCTAAAACCTGACAGGTGGGCAAATCTAAGCTTGTTTTTAATAAAACAAACATAAATATGCATACAATAATACTACTAATAATAAGATGAAGAAGGCATGAAAGTAAGGTTTTTTATTATTATGTAGAAAGTAATCATTTTTGTACCATTTTAATTCTTTTTCATATTTAAAGATATTTGCGTATTGCTGTACATCCTGTGTGTATTAAGTTTAAGTGAGGCGCACAACTAACTTGCTCTGCACTGGACTTTAGATATCCTCTCAGGTGGTCTATTAAACCTATTGTCTTTTTTAGTTTCTCAAAATAGCATCGCACCAGCAATGCGTCTTAACACACCTCCTTTTCTAGAACGGAACGCCTATGGGCACACATATGAGAGCAAATGTATTTGATATTTAAACAGTGTGGTGCAAAATTTCAAAATAACCCTTGCATCTAGCTGAAACTAGCAAACAACAATTGCGTTACGTCTTGCACCGGGTGTATGATAGGGTATCAAAATAGAGCTCACAGTCTTTGTTTTTGTTTACTCCATGCAGTTCTGAGAACTGAGATGCATGTTTTGATTTTCTCAGACACATAAAGGTAAGTGCATAAAGGTCATTCTCACACTCTCAAACACATACCCACACTTTAACTTGATGTTATAATCCATATAAACTGCAGAAACTCTTTTGCACAGGTCTATCTAAAGGGTTAATGGTGCCAACTGATGACCAACAACAAAAAATACAAATTGTAGCTCTTCCCAACAGGAAAACCACCAACAATGAAAATGCATGATTAAATGATGTCATGGTTTTGTAATAAAAAAAAACAATGTGGTTTTAATGGAAGTCAATGGGCAAAAACAGTCACCAACAGTAAAGTAGGGAGAAAAATATGAAAACCATTCAAAAACAATGCATCAAAGAAAACGCTGTTTCACATGTCCAAGAATTTGATAAAATGTAAATAAAATCCAGTCCACGATTACTTTTTATACTAAAAACATGTCATTTTGTGTTTTTTTTTCACCAAATCAGCGACATTATTTATAAATTTGGCAATTTAAGAGTTAAAATCTGGTGACTTTCTAAGCAATTTAGTAGTTTTGATCAGGACTGAGGTTGATTAACAGATTTATGCAAAAATAATGTTTACAAATATGTATCTGATGCATTTTTACAGCAGTTTAATTCAGTGGATGTTTTCATTCCTAACATAACAAAAGGGTAGTAAATTTGCCCAGAGTGTATCGTTGAGTTATTTAAAAATTTCAAAGCATTTTCTAAAAATAAGATTTGTCACCAAAAATCATTCTTCTAGCAGAAACAAAGAAAAAAATATGGCCAAATTTAGACACAAAATCACCCCAGAGTGGATGAAAACATCCCCAACAGTACATAAAGGTTAAGGAAAATCTCACAGAATTTTTGATTATTTCTGAAAACAGCATAATATGTTTTACTTATTTTGAAAAAGGTTCTTGATTTAAGAACTTAGCTATTTGGACTAGAGATGGCAAAAGTATCATGTTCGGTATCAATCGATACTGAAATTTGAAAAATGTCCATTTCTCACTAACATAGTGCTATTGAGCACATCCTTAATCACTTCTGACTGGCCATTGTGTTCATGTGCTCATTGTCATCAGTTCAATCGCAATAATTTATGTTAAGCATCTAAACACAATTGCCAATCAGTGGTGTTTAAGAGCATGTTAAACAGCGCTTAAATGTTAAGAGAAAATAGATGTTTAAAAAAAAAAAATGGTACCGAAATCGATACTTTTGACAACACTACTAGAAACAAAACAAAAACCCAAAGTAAAAAAAAGCCTTTTTTGCAGTGTAGTTTAAATGAAAGTGAAAGATTTTTTTTAAACACTTCATTAGTGATACGACTCATACAGTATATAAATCCACAGCCTCACCGCAATCTGAAGGCATAGGCGCTGATGCAACCTGATGGATCACCGGTCGGTCAGAATTACAGGGAATGAAGCTGTAGCATCCCCGGACAGAGTCTCCTTCTGAAGACTCTCTCAGCACATCCTCCTTGGTCATTTCCCCCTCACCACCTTCAAAATATATAATGAATAAATATAATTAGAACACATTAATCTGAAAAAAAAAACCATTATAAACACGATGCAAAAAGCCATTAGTTTGCTTTACTTAAAAAAAGTTAGTATGACTATTGTTTTTAAATGAAAGTGAGTAAACTTTTGAATTGTGTTTTGAATTTACGAACTGGATTTGTGCATTTATGAATTATTTTAAATTTACAAATTGTGATTATGAATTGTGTATTGAATTTACATATTGGATTTCTGCATTTACGAATTGCGTTTTGAATTCACGAATTGGATTTGTACATTTACGAATTGTGTTTTGAATTTACGAATTGGATTTGCACATATATGAATTCTGTTTTGAATTTACGGATTGGATTTGCACATTTATGTATTGTGTTTTGAATTTACAAATTGAATTTGCACATTTACGAATTGTGTTTTGAATTTAAGAATTGGATTTGTGCATTTATGAATTGTGTTTTGAATTTACAAATTGTGTTTAGAATTTACGAATTGGATTTGCGCGTCTGTATTGTGTGTTGAATTTAAAAAAAGGATTTGCACATTTTTGAATTGTGCTTTGAATTTTCAAATTGGATTTGCACATTTATGAATTGTGTTTTGAATTAACAACACAATCTCACGGCAATTCGTAACTTTTTCATTTAGTGGCTAATTCGTATGAATTCGTACAATCTAATTCGTACAATTTAGTACAATTTGCTTATCCCCCAATGACGGTTGGGGTTAGGGGTGGGGTCAGGTGCCACGCCTCCTTTTTAAAATCGTACCATTTCGTACGACTGAACTCGTACGAATTCGTACGAATTAGCCACTAAACTGGCAAAACGTAAAATACTTACGTTTTCTCGTGAGATCAGGCTGGAATTAATGGATTGGATTTGCACATTTTTGAATTTGTTTTAAACGTATGAATTGGATTTGCACATTTATAATTTGTGTTTTGAATTTACGAATTGGGTTTTAAATTTATTAATTGGATTTGCGCATATATGAATTGTGTTTTGAATTTACAAATTGGATTTGCACATTTATGAATTGTGTTTTGAATTTGTGAATTGGATTTGCACATTTATGAATTGTGTTTTGAATTTGCGAACTGAATTTCCACATTTATGAATTGTTTTAAATTTATGAATTGTTTTGAATTTATGAAGTGTTTTTTTTTTAATTCATGATTTGGATTTGCACATTTATGAACTGTGTTTTGAACTTACGAATTGGATTTGCACATTTAAGAATTGTGTTTTGAATTTACGAATTGTGTTTTAAATTTATGTATTGGATTTGCATGTTCATAAATTGTGTTTTGAATTTACGAATTGGATTTGCTTATTTATGAATTGTGTTTTGAATTTACTAATTGTGTTTTAAATTTATGTATTGAATTTGCGCGTTCATGAACTGTGTTTTGAATTAACGAATTGGATTTGCTTATTTATGAATTGTGTTTTGAATTTACGGATTCTAATTTGAATTTATGAATTGGATTTGCGAGTTCATGAACTGTGTTTTGAATTTACGAATTGGATTTGCTTATTTATGAATTGTGTTTTGAATTTACAAATTAGATTTTGTAAATGTGAAATGAAAAACAGAAAAAACATCATAAGTCCAAGGCACGCAAACATAAGTAAAAATCTTGACAGGACAATTGACAATGACAAAAACAAATTTGTTTTGCAATTATTTTGATCTGACAGCGGATATCTGCACCTTGAGACACTTCACATCATGTTCACAAGAGTAACCACAATGATTCCACAATAAAATCAAAGTAATTCTTACTGCTCCTCTAATGTTAGACAACTGAAAAGCCATTATGCACCAATAAGTCCCTACATTTAATATATTTATTATTATTATTTTATTTTTATTTTTATTTTTGCAGGTTCTGGAACTGTTTATTGTTTCTTCTGTTAAGGTTCAGTTCTGCTACTGCTGTTTAAGAGTATTTAAAAGACAGTATGGTAGCATTTCACAAGTCTGTTCTGATGAAATGACTTGCTTATGCAAGGTGGTGTTGCTTTCAGATTCCACTAAAAATGTTTTTTTTTTAACAAAAGAATGACCAAACTTAACGCAATTAAAAATAGCAACATATTTTTTTCCATCACCTGACTGCTTAGAAAAAACGTAATAACAGAAAAAGACGTTGTGCATGTGCCCTATATGAATTTTTTTTAACACAAACAGAGGTAAGCAAATAAATCAAATAAAACAAGATAGAACAAAACAAAACTGCTTTCAGTTGCTTGACTATCTGAAATGGTTGTCAATATTACTCAGGGACTTTAGTTGTCCCATAGCATTTAGGCCTTTTACGCATATATTGATATAACTAATGAATTGTGATTAATTTAATTAATAAACAGATGTACTTGCTTCTATTCAAATGAAAACTGACAGCCCTAGTTATGACTAAAGTCATCAGTTATTGAGCTTGCAATCTCGAATTATACACATCATTAGCTGCAGCATCATTCAGGCTAAAGCACACAGAATAGCAAAGCTGCTTAAAATATCAAATTCCCTAAGCTTTGGCTGTAATAAGGAACCCTTACAGTATTCTACACTCTAGTAAAGAGTTTAAGCAAATACAAAGGACAATTTCTCTAAACTTCTGTACTATCAGGCAGAAAACTTGATATAAATAATTGGAATACTGGAATAATTACAACGACAACAAAAAAACACTCACCTCCATGATTTGGCTTTCTGTTATGCATTACCTTAAATACTGACATTTCTTTTTTAGTTGTTCATTTTAGTGACCTAAAACAAACTCAGCAGGAGTAAAAAAAAAAAAAAAAGTCCTGCTTCTTTAAACACAGTGGATTTTATACGTCCAGAAATCACAGAAGGACACTTTCAATTGGATGATCCATGGAACACACCCAAACAAGAGTAGAGTTACACTTTGTTCAAGACAGACCTTTTAAGATTGTCTTCTAAACAACAAGATTGGATGGAAATGATGGTAAACAGCAATAACTGTTAAAAAAAAAAAAACAACAACAATGACAAAAAGTCAAGACAACAAATATTTTTAAGTGGCTCTAACTTATTTTAAGTTGGTCAGATTTCATTACACAATGCTTAACTTAATATTTTAGTCAGTTTGATTGATGTAAGTTGAAACTGAAAATTTAATTTAATTCAAGTAAAAAAAAAAAAAAAAAATTAAGGAAGTATATTTTTTACAGGGTTGTTCCCATAAGGTTTTCCCTATGTCCATAACATAATGTCTTTAAACAGCATTATATACAAGCCAGTGTGAACTTTAGACAGTCAGAGAGCACTAAACATTGTTGTGATTACATAATCCATTTGTCCATGTGACTCAGTGATTTGGATAAGCTTTGCAGATGAGGAAGGAATGGAAATGTACAATAAGTAAGAGTAAAATAAGAGTAAAATAAGTCTATGTGATAGAACAATCTGCTTACTCCACATATGGAGTATTTACAGTGTATACACTCGAGAAAAAAAAAGATCTTTGCTGCTTGTTCAAACTACTTATTTAAAATAAGCTTAAACAACACAATTATTAAGCTTTTTTGGGGACAACTTAATTGTTTTATGTTCAATACAATTAATTGTTATTATATAACTTAGATTCTGACGGTATGATAAAAGATCACGGTTTCACGGTATTGTGATTATTGCTCTAAAATATATATTATTTTCAAATGTCTGGTTAACTTCTGCTGTCTTTATTTTTATGTCTATCCTGGAGATAGTATTGTCCTAAAAAAATAAACATAAATAAATAAATAAATAAATAAATAAATAAATAAATAAATAAATAAAAACACATACACATACCTTAGAGAGAAGTGATTACAATATAACTTAAATTAAGTTCCAGAGAATTATATGTTTAAAAAGATATAGCTAGCATTTGACAAAGGAGAACTTTACGAATCTCTACCTGTTCAGTGCTGGATTCAGCAAAATACTCCCCCGAACGATGAAGCTGTGAATAGTGAGCCACAACCTCTACCTATTTTTATTTGTTTGAAATTGATTAACTACAGACACCGATTCTAGCGTTAACTGTATGTTGTAGCTAGGAGGTAAACAAGAAAAAGCAAAAAAAAAGCATTTTCTAAACAAATAAAAAAAATATTGTCTCGATTTCAGAAATAATGTAAGAAAATTAGGCAAGTTTTTACACAAAACAATTAAAATAATCTTGTTTTGCTTTAAATAAGATTTTGCCCTGTGGGCATATTATTTTGCTTGTTTTAAAGGATAAAATTCTTATTATTTTCCAAAAAAAAATAATAATTTATTAAAAAAGGAAACAAAGTATTTTTTTCATTATTTACTTCGTTCTTTTAGACTTTTTTTTCTCTTAATCACAAAAGAAGATATTTAGAAAGAATTAGGAAACTTGTAACCATTGACTATTTGTTTTTCATTCTAGGGAAGTCAGTGATTATAGGTTTTCAGCTTTCATCAACATATTTTTTTTTGGATTAAATAAACTCATAGGTTTAAAAATCACTTGAGGGTGTATAAATAGTGAGTATAAATAGATAGATAAATAAATAAATAAATAAATAAATAAATAAATAAATAAATAAATAAATAATTTTATATATATATATATATATATATATATAAATGGCTTTTATGATTTTATGATTTTACTATTAAAGTTTGAGGAAAAGCAGACTTGTCCTTTTATTGTTACCAAATAAATGGCTTTTATGATTTTATGATTTTACTATTAAAGTTTGAGGAAAAGCAGACTTGTCCTTTTATTGTGACCTATAGTATCTTAATCTTATCTTTTTTTTTCTTGCTTGCTCAAACTACTGATTTGAAATTAACTAAAACAACACAATTCCCAAGATATTTTGGGACAACTTATTAGTTTTATCTTTAATTTGCTTAAATGTGTTAAGTTTTGTGTTGTTAAAACATGAATTAATTTTCTGTCTTAAGTTTTCAATGTCAAATGGCAACAAAAA